AACGCAACAATATAAGACGGTTTATTCATTCTATGTGATGATTAATAGATTCCATTGGATTATCAGTCCAAAACTGCGACTACGATATGGAATGATTTCTATTGTAATTTCACATACTTAGTACATGACATTCCTTTGCGTTTAACGTGGTTAGCGATGGGTAAGGTGTATATAAATATTGTCCGATATATTTTATAGTGAAGAACTATTGATATTTCATTGGTTAAACAAACATCTAGAAACTATTCGAAAGTCACATACATTTTCACTATAAGAAAATCCAGTAAAATATACCTGTTTTGGCGATGAATATTGCTCACTAAAATATATATCTTATCATGTATATTTTATTGGAGTTGCTTGTAACGGCTTTTGACGTTTCTTGGTATGTCGCATGTGAAAAGACACGTAGAAACTATTGGATAGTCATTTAAGTTTGCACTATAGAAAAAAAAGTATATTAGACCTGTTCATTTTAACAGAAATGTTCGGGACGCACCTGGTGAACCGTGATTACTGTTCGTCATGTTAATTTGAACTTCTGTGCAAATTTTCAGCAAAATCGGTGATGATTTAGAGGTGTTGCAAGCTATTTTATGTTTTAACAGTAATTTCCGGCTTATAATATTTGTATCTCGAGACTGAAACAACGAAAACTGCTGTAACAACTTTCATCGCAAAGATTAATGTGTTATCTACCAACTTTATGACCAAACGCTGACTATTCAAAGTGATTTTATTGAAGTTTGACTTGACATGCTCGAAGATATCTTAAAAAATGAAGAAAATATAAAAAATACTTTAAAATTTGTTCTACGAACTTTTCACCCATATGATATAAAAATGTGTAGTCTACGGCATAATGTTATACTGTTCTAGAAATATCGTTCAAAGATAGTTTTCGTGTAGATTCCGTAGATTGAGTGATAAAAATCATAAAAGAGACCGTTTTAGCTAAAATTCACAAGACAACAGAGCTAATAAAAGTTTCAATTAGATTGACAGAACTGCATTGCTTTTCAATGACAACCGATGCCTGTTTTATTGATAGATGGTTTTTTTTTAGAAATATGAATCGTAAGTAGGCGTGTTTTTTTTATCAAAGGCAAGTTTCACTCGAGCCATCCAAAATGTGCGTTATTTTATAAATTGCTGTTATGGCTCGAGTGACACTTGCCTTTGATAAAAAAAACACGTTGAATCCAAATTATCTGTGCCAATTTCAAGCTAGAGTCCCAAAATCTGAAATGCAAATTCGAGTAAACCCGTGATATCACAAAACTCACGGCACCCGAGTTATCCCGAAATGCCGGCTAAAATAAATGCTATAATTTAAAAAAATCTCTTACATCCAATGTAAGATTGGGTTTATTTCATCCTCTGCATATGATTCATACAACAAATGTGGCAGTTCTTGCAATGGACTGCAGCGTATAAGCAAGTTTTTCCACAGTGCATTTTTTTTTTAAACCTGCACTAGATGGTTTTCTAGATGCAATGCCTTTGGAGAAACAACCTACAACCTACAAAAATTATTAAAAACCTTCCGGCGAACACATTGCACAATCTGCATAATTTTCATGCAAATCTGTAATAGAATCTTAAATTTCCTAGTTGGGTGTATATCTACGGATGTTGATGGATATCAATTCCTGGATACAACTGTAACTTTTTCCCAATGCTTGTATAATATCTGTACCAGGGCTGGTAGCAATCACTGCTGTTAAAATAGTGATTTTAGTGACCATTTTGATGAAATAAGTGACCAAATAGTGACTTATAGTTGTAAAAATAGTGACTAAAAAGTGACCTAAGAGCAAATTTTAATGGAAACTTTTAGGAATTTCTGAGGAGCTTCAGAGGAAAATACAAAGGGCATTCTGAGCATAATTTCATAAAGTTTGTGGGAGAAAACGAATCCGGAGCATAAGTCCTTGGATTTTTTTTTTGAAAATACTAAAGGAGGATTACAATTAAATCTAAGAATAACTCCAGGACATCTTCACAGGAATTCGGAAAAGGAATTCAGGAGAGTTTGCCAAACAAATTATGAGAAGAAATAGAAGTAATTTGTGAGGAGAAATGCCAATTAATTCTTAGGAGACTTTCAATGTGAGTAGAATTCCAAAGGAAGGAGTGAGATTGAAAAAGAAATCTGTAAAGAATTCAATGAATATTCGGAGAATCTTTCGAAAGGGTTTCTTATTGTGGTGAACTCCAAGGAAAACTAAAAGAAAATCGAATTCGGAGGATAGCTTCACCAAAATTTTGAGGAATAGTTCAATGGAAATCTCCGTAGAATATCGAATGGACTATTTTGAGGTTTCCAGAACTACTTGAAAGTTCCCAATTTTTTCCTGAAGTTAATGAAACTGTCTTGAAGTTCTTTTGTAGTTTGAGAAACCAGCCTGAGACTCACAATACTACTCATCATATTCTTAAACTTCCCTGAACTTTTTAGGACTTCCTAAAGTTTCGTAAATTTTTTCAATGATCATGGATCTCCTCTAAATGTTTAACAATTCGCTGAAGTTCTCTAAACTTCTTTAAAATTTATGTGACTTCTCTAATGTTAACGGAATTGCTCTGAGGTTCTTTGTTCTTTTCTGTAATTCTCAAAACTTCTCTAAAGTTTTAGCAGTTCTCATGAATCTTGTTGTATTGCGCTGAATTTAATTGAACCACCCTAAAAATGTTTAAGCTTCAGTGAGCTTCTAAACGTAAGCGAAGACCTCAATTAACTTTCTAACGTCTCTGAAGTTATCTGAAAATCTGGGAACTGCTTTAACTTCCCACTAATTTTCTGAAACTAAAGGAACTGGCCTCCCCAATGTTCATAAAAAATCCTGAAGTTCACGGATCTCTCCTTAAGCTCCATAGATTTCTATAAAGTTCTCGAAATGTTTGTGAAGCCCACAGTTCTTCTGTGAAGTTTTCGAAGTTTTTCTAAATTTCTGTAACTTTTGTGCTACCGCAATTTTCATGGAATTAGAACGAAATAATTAATATAGTTATATGATTTTCATTGAAGTTCTCAAGATTTTTTTGAAGTTCACTTCCCTTAAGTTATCGAACATTATTTAAAACTTACTGGTGGTATTTAAACTGCCTAAACGATTATTAAATTTCCTTAAAGTTCTCTAGACTGCCCTGAATTTTCAATATTTTTTTAAGAACCCGCAACTTTACTGAAATTCAATTATTTGCCTTGAAGTTTCGACAATTTCCGTTGAGTATTATAACCATTATAAACGGTTCCTAATTTTTCCTGAACTTATCAGTGGTTACCTGAAGTTCTCTTAATTTGTTTAATAATCCGGCAATTTGTTTGATATATATTCATAATTCCCTGAGTTTCTCGCAACTTCTTTAAGGTTTTAACCATTTCCTTGAAATTGTTTGAACTGCCCTTTGATTCTATAATCTGTATTGATGTTCTCGAAGCTTCCCTAAAACTTTCAATTCTATTGAAGATCTCGGTTCTGCTGCTCGGAAATAAATGGAATTCCCGTAAAAACCTTTAAATTTCCCTGAAATTCTCTGAACTTCTGTGAAGTTTCTGAAATATTTCTGAAGTTTTCATAAATTCTCTGAAGGACTCTGTTCTTCCCTGAAATGCTCGGAACATCTTAAGGGTTCTCGATTTTTTTCAGCATATCATGGAACTGTCCAGAATTTTTCTAAATTTACGATTATAGATATTCAAACTGCTCCAAAAGTCTGGAATAAAGCTACGGAAACTGCTCTTAAGGTCTGAAGTTCCCCAAAAAAATCTCTAGATCTAACTTTTCTTAAAAAATTGCACAATACCCCTATGTTTTCTATGTTTTTCAAGTTCGCTTGACACATGGACATGGCAATGGATTTGATTGTAAAGCTGTTTCTTTAAAACTGATTGACATGTCTTAAAAACGTTTGGGTAAATTGCTGTTGCTTTTGATCTACAAAAAAAGAATATTTTTAACGCATTTAAAAATTTAGCTTTATTATAAAACTGGAATTTATCCGTTAAAATACTGGAAAAACCTGGAAAAGTCAGATAATTTTATTTAGAAAAATGAATAGTCACCCTGTAGATAGAGAAAGACGATTAAACGCCTAAATGATCCATCTTGAAATAAATTCACGCTAAAAAAGTTGAAAATAGTGACTGATTACAAGAAATAGTGACTTTAGTGACTTGGCCTTAAAAAAGAGACTTTTTAGTAACTGGCTTGAAAAAAGTGATTCGCTACCAGCCCTGCTGTACTCTTTGTGAAGTATGTATGCATGCTAAAATGTCGTTAATAATTCAGACATCCCAAGTAACATTGCAAGTTTTATCTAGGTTTTGAAGCATTATACAAGTCTGAATCATGGTCTACAGAACCCTCATAAAACCAAAATTTTCTGGCATCTCTGTCGAACACTGTCTCAACACGCACAATAAATGGTATATCCAAAGATGCTTTTTATGTATCATCCAGAATTTTTTTGTTCATGAATCTTCATGAGATAGTTTTTAGGTTTTATGCTTTGCCGAGAATGGAAGTTCATAAAATAAGCCAAGAATGATTTAACACAATTATTTGAATTTTTTTTCTGAAGACCATGTTACAGAATCTGTTTCATTCATTAAAAATTCTTGACATCTGTTATACAAAACTTTTGGAGAACCTTACATTCCCCGGTTGGGTGTTGTTAATCCTAAATATATAAGATATTAAGTTTACTTTTTTACTTTTTTATTATTCCTACGTATTAGGAATTTTGATCCAACTTCCGTCCTGCTTAACACAAACCGCGCTTTACCTATCTTTTCCGAACGGATTTGAAGATTAAAGCGGAGCGCATTTACTAAATATGACTTCTAAATTACTCTCTCTTTCCATATGTACCGTTGGATTTGTAAAAGAATCAAACAAATTTTATATTTTGGTCAAAATACTACACTGCTTCTTGATTCCAAATTCATCCTAAGGGTTTAAAAAATAAATACACCGTCGGCATATTCGACCTACCTTCATTTTCTACTGCTCTACCGCTGTCCCATGGGTGAACTTCCATTAATAATTCCTTTTCCGTACAGCTCTGCCACCAATCCGCACAGCCAACTATTCCCACGTTCAACGAGCTGCTAAGTATGTAATTGTTTGATTACTACACATTCTTCACAGTGACCACTCTATCTGTCACCCAGCCAGCGTCATCTTCCTTTTCCAATGATTAAAATTCCCCTTTCATTAACTTCAATCATGTCGCACACCAACTCGTTTGCCGCGTTTCCATTTTCAATCACAGATCAATTTTCCCACTTCTAGTGCTCACCATTCACAATTTTCCCATCATATCGATCGATCTCAAAGTCATCGCAACAAACTGCAGAGCTCTGAATACGATTTGAGTGCTCGAGCTAAAGCCACCGACCGCCGCCGTCGTCGTTACCACCAACAAGCCGCCCGGATCGATAAAGTAGACCGAAATCGATAGATTGCGAGAGCTGACCGTCGAGCACGCACGCGACAATCAACGGCGAAGCTTTTCGGCGTGAGAAAAACCGACACGTCCAATCGCGACCGTTATTCGTACAGGACTGGATGGATTGGATTGGAAGATTGCTCTTGCACGCTCTGCCACTTTTATCGATCTGTTGTGAACACTGTGTGGACAAACGTGCAGGTCCTCACTCAAGCTTTTTTTTTTTCTTCTTCAAATGATCTTGCAGACGATACCCCACTGTGACGAACCGAAAGATCAGCTGTCTTTGGACAACCGTGATTATTTTTTGTATGTTTTGTACGAATTCCTATTTTTTTGTTTATTATGCTTTGTTTACTGCATCGAGAGGGGTTATTAATCGTTCTCTCGCACTCTCATCGTTCTTTTCTGGAGCTTTTGTTATGCTCAATTTCTCTCTCGTGTTCGTGTGAGAAAATGTTGTACATAACAGCAAGGCGTCATGGAAACTGAACAGACTCCGCCTACTGCGGATCGAATTTTCTGCATCTCCTTCCATGCAAAGCCTCCGCTCATAGATAGATTTCATATTTGAACATTTATCTCATCTTCTGGGCGCAGACAGAGGGTATGAAGCGTTATTTCTCTATTTAGTGTGATGATTATATTTTCATAACAAGCAAGCCTGAAGAGCCGGAGAATAACGCTTGACAGAATCTTGAAATTTAATTTCATTTTAAAGGTTTAGATTGCTTTTATGAACCCTGATGTGCAAAGTTTAAAGCGCCTAGCTCGGCGAGCTTGATAGGGTCCGGAAAATGTTGATGGAAATGCTGCCGACCGGAGACTCGTTATCGGTCTTCGGACTGTCCAATAAATCATTTCAGAAAGCAATGGTCGTCGTCAGCCGGACGGGCGGCGCTATATAAGAAGGTTGATGATTTTTTATGATTTAACATAAAGCTTAGCGAAACAAAACGGACACAATGTGCTAATGCGTCGAGGTTGTTCGCTGCTTGGCGTCTTTTCGATTTCAATTAGACGCACAGAAATCGTTAAACTGACTGTTTCTACCCTGTTTTCTAATTGGGTTTTACTAGTTTTCTTGGTAAAAGACTCATTATGGTTTATAATGGCGTCCTTTGTCCGAGCCAATGTGTGCAGCGCGTGTGGATTATTGCTGGTTGAGCTGCCAAAACTGACGCCAGATTGGAATCTTTGATTAACGATAAGAATTTGGAGGCGAATCCAAAGGTTTGAAATTCGTATAGCAGCATTTTCAACCTTTCGTTGATTGCGACCCTCTTCGATTAAAATATTGAAATTCAGTGAATAAATGTCTAGGCCTGTCATGGTGGTACTCATGGTTACTCCATTGGTAACCAGCTTCGAAAAGTGATTTGTTTTTTTTTATCAGTCAATACTAATTGGGCCCAGAAACATCAATCTACATGCGTTTTTCTTATAAAAGTTGTACACCAAAATGCATAAGGCAAGTTTTGGACAGTACTATGCGCTCAAATCATCAACCATATTTAACGTAAAACAGGTTTGTGCCCTTCAATATGGAATTAATAAAGGGCTTGGATCTCATTTTTGGCCTAATAAGCACAACCTGCCCTTTCCCTCTATTTTTCGAGCGGATTTTTTTTTTCACGAAATTTAATGTTTGTCCTCTATTTATTAAAATTATTTACCTCTAACCTTTTTTTATCTTTAAAAAAAGTTTGCATTTGGAAAATCGAAAGCCTAATCAAATATTTTTCATGTATTTTGTAGTCATCGCACTTTAAAAAGAAATAAAGTTTGATCATTTATACAATAACATAATCAGTCTGCACCTAATCATGATTGACCAATTTTTGACCGTTCCACCCTTTATCTGCTCGATGGGCTTAAAATAGCCGATTAGACCGAAGTAGTTCCCTACCCTATTACAAATTTAAGAATAAACTTTTGCGCTCTGCAAGGTGAAAAAATATTGCTCCGCCTATAGTGATAAAAAAAACCGTTTGAAAACAATGTTACCTACAAATGTAACAAAAAAAAAAGTTCTGCGCTCATTAGATGTAAAATATGTTGCGCCTAGCCATATACATTTCCAAAGGCATTGAAGAATTTTAGAAATCTAATTTTCATTAGTCGCTCAAGAAGCGCAAAATTATTTCTACACCCCTGATGATGAAAAAAAAACCACTTGGAACTAATTTCACCGAATAAAAAAATGCGCGTGCGAAACGCATTGTCCAGTTTTTCAAAAATATTGCTAAGGGTTGCAAGACCACCACATACCGTCACTTCAAAGCGGAAGGTGTTCCAGCCAGCACTATCTACGGTATTCCGAAACTGGTACAGCTAATTTCCTTAAACTCTCAGGCCATCCAGTGTCCGGATCAACGCGTAATGTCGTGAGTGCCGTAAAAGAAACATTTAAGAAGTAACGCGATGTTTCGGTCCGCCAGCTAGCTTGGAAAATGCAAATTCCAAAGTCAACGCTCAGTGATATTAAAATACACAAATTGCACATCAATGCGAGAACAAAAAAGGTCGTGCCAAAGTATGTTAAGGACAAAGCTGCTCGTGCCAAATCAGCAGCTCGATTCGTTCTCGACAAATCACGCCAAAAAATTCTAATAATTGACGATTAGACGTATTTTCCAGTTGATCCACAAGAATTGTCAGGACATAAATTTTATCACAGTTCTAAAACTATTTTTTTTAAAGAAATACCTTGTATGACAGGCCATGGATCAATTGAAGAATATTTCGGAGCCATATATTACAACCGGTACTATAAATGCAGATATTTATCTTCCCGAATGTCTGAAGAAGCGATTGATTCATTTCATTCGTAAGCATCATTCCACCAACAATGTTTTATTTTGGTCAGACCTGGCATCGGCAAACTACGCGAAGATAGTGCTGGAGTTCCTTGAACAAGAAAATATTGAATTTATCCCAAAATCCAAAAATCCGAACAAGAGATGAACTAGCCTCAGGCTAAAAATCTCTAAAATAAAGATTTAAAAAAAAAAAAAAAAACAAAAATCCGAACAATTTTTGTCGATTTTTGTCGATTTGCAAGCAGGAGTACTCTAAGAGGCGCATTCCAGCCAAAAATATGTCTATATTTAAACGGATCTGGAAGAAAATTGCAGCTGATGTAGCTGTAACTCATGGACATCACCTCATGGACTACGTATACTCTATTCCCATCAAAATATCTAAAACGGGAGTTGAGTGCTAAAGTTGATATATTTACATGTATGGATAAGCGTGATTACCTCTCACCCCAGCAGGTCTGGGTTCAATTCCAGTCGGCGCCGCCGGGATGTTCTGAGGCATAACATCTCTGATCACGCCTTCCTTCGGAAGGGAAGTAAAGCCGTTGGTCCCCGATTCATGAGTTGATGAGTCGATAGGTAGGGTTTAGGTGTAGGAGCTGCCTCCCTGACGTCGGTAGCATTGGTGCTCAGCACGGAAAACAAGATCGACGGAAAACAAATCAAGGAAAAAAAACATGTATGTATATTTATAAATCTTGAATCTGAAGAGTAAATAAAAACGCTTAATATTATTTTAAAATCCAAAATCAGTTTTTATATTATTCCGATTACTTCCCGGACATGCATTACATATCAGAGAACTTCAGAACAGTTCCATTAATTTCAGGAAAATTACAAGAAATTTATAGAAGTGCTGAGAAATTTAGGGAACTCCAGAAAAAATTAGGAAAGTTCTGAACTCGTTAGATTAATTTCGAATACGTCAGTGATGTTCCAAGAACTTTACGGAATATACAAAGCGTTCAGAGAACTTTCAAAAACTTCAGGAAAGCTTCTGTGGCAAAATATTTAGGTGATTCCTTGTAGAGTCCACAAATAATCGCACTTCCACTTCGCATTTTCAACTACCCAAATCTCGGAAATCAGTGCTCAATTTCATCTGAAATTGCTACTTCATGTATGCAGTAGTGCAGCAAACGTTGAGTAACAATTTGAATGTTGTACGTGTAGTAGAAGCTTATATTTATGCACTTAAAGTTTCGAAGTGGTTCCGAGAATAAGGATGTTACAGCGATTTACCTTAAGGGATGGTACGTAACAATCTGAGAAATCAGGACAATTTTATGATTAGGGAACTCACCCCAAAGGGTATGGGTTCAAAACCAGTCGGCGCAGCTGGGATTTTTTAAGGAATGGAATCTTTGATCACGCCTGCTTTCGGATGGGATGTAAAGCCATTGGTCCCCGGTCTATAAGTTGATGGGTTGATAGGTAGGGTACAGATGTAGGAGCTGCCTCCCTGGCGTCGGTAGCATTGGTACTAAGTACGAAAAACAAGATCGAAGGAAAATAAATCAAGGAAAAATGGTAGAAGGATGTATTTAAGACATGACCGTAGATTTCACGTAGGATTACGGGCCCGATATCAATATTCGGCGACTGTGTTAGGGAAACCACCAGGTAATGTGGTATTCGATCATTGCTGGTATTTGTATGTACCACTTCAATACTGCTTCGCAACAAACGTTTGGTTGCTGGGTAAATTATCAAAGAGCTTTGGGGGTGATGTGGTTGGCAGTAAGGTTCAATGAAAATTACCTCTTATGGAGTCGACATTTTTTTCAA